ATATGTGAACTGCTGTATGAAAAGTGAATTTACTCTGTAAATCTTCACCCAAATCCTAATAAAAAAATAAATAAATAAATAAATAAAATGTCAACAGAGTGATAAATACATGTGTTAGGCTGATGTACACATTACACACAAAAGTTTTTCTCAATTATAGGGGTTCCAATTTCATCTGCTGTCGCAGGTGTAGCAGTAGGATTAGTCACCAAAAACAATTCTGAGAAGAGTGAAATAGAAGATTATCGGTTGCTGACAGATATTCTGGCAAGTATATTCACATTTTCAAATATTTAATGGTGAAGAGCATACATACTTTACAAGCATCCTGTGCTTAGAAGATGCTAGTAGTACTTAAGGAACAGAGGTACTTATTCTGTCCTCCCCAGCGTGTTTCCTTGGTTTTTATAGGATCTTAATTTAAAATAAATATTATAGTCTAAATGTACATAATAGTTCACTCTCAGATGACAGTAAATTAATCCATAATGCATTTATGGGAGGTAACATGATCTAAAAATAATATTTCTCATGAAAGTATTTGTAGCTTAAAAAGTCAGAAAGTGGAGGTAGTAGTTAACGTAAAAGATATTTATGTGTAAGCTCCTACTTTGGAAGTAGAAATACATCTGTAGTAACTATGGGTGAATTTTGTGTTTCTTTAAAACTCTTATCTTAATTTTTTAAATTCCTGAAGGGAATTGAAGATTACAATGGTGACATGGATTTCAAGATAGCTGGCACTAATAAGGGAATAACTGCACTACAGGTATTTTTAAAACTGTTTTGTTTTTGTTATATCTAAATAATGTCATGAATCAATATTTATATCATTTTTTGGCTCTTCCAAATTAGGCCGATATTAAGTTACCTGGGATACCAATAAAAATTGTAATGGAGGCCATTCAGCAAGCTTCAGGTAAGCCAATGTGCCTGATGCTTATTTCATCATTGTGTACTTTGTTGAATGAGAATTATGATTGCCATTAGACTTATTATAAAATAGTGCTTTGAAAATGAAATTTCATGTAACTTAACTTAGATCAAGAAATATTAAGTTGGTGGGCATGTGGCTAATCACCCAAGTGGGAGACAACTGAAAATCTGATTTTTACAAACTAAGCAGCGCTCTACGATAGGATTTATGGAGAAAGGAATGAGTGAAATTATCAAAGTAATTGGGGTATGGAAAGCTTTACTAAGTGGAAGAGTTCAGATTTTATTCCATAAAAGCTAAGAATGTGACTATATCAAGTCATTGTTTATTTTATGTAGTTATGTTTATTGTGTTTTTATCTTTTCTAGTGGCAAAAAAGGAAATATTACAGATTATGAACAAAACTATTGCAAAACCTCGAGCGTCTAGAAAAGAAAACGGGCCTGTTGTAGGTAATACATTAAAATTATTACTGGTTTTGTAATAGGATAAATATTACTGTATGAAAACATATTACTTGTTTTAAAATGTTTTACACTGTGTGCAAAATGCAAGTATTTTGAATATTTTACAGTTAAATTTCTTTAAATTTGGAAGGACATTCTTGGGCATTAAAACTTCAATATTTAAGTCCAGTAGCCAATTGTGTTTCTATTTTCCTACTGAAAAATTTCTACATATGTCTAGGCCAAAAAAAAAGAAAGAAACTATCTAAAGTGGACAGAACATGTTTTAGGTTCATACATGTATATATATGAATTATTTATATTTTTGTCTATATTACATTTTAGAAACCGTTCAGGTTCCATTATCAAAACGATCAAAGTTTGTCGGACCAGGTGGATATAATTTAAAAAAACTTCAGGCTGAAACAGGTAAGAGTTGTATAAAGTTAGGGATTTTTGTAATTAAAAGCTGAACCATGTAAGTGTGCCATTTTACCTCTTACTCAAATCTCTGTGTTTGAGAAATGAAGACAAAGACCAGGAGAAAAGTATATGTCTTTACTATAAATTTTCTGTATGCCTCTTAATAAATCAACAATTCTTTTTGGTACAGTTACTCTGTGTATTCTTTCCATCTTTTTTTTTTTTTTTTTTTTTGTTTTTTGCATCACTTTAAACATCTAGAATAATTTTTAGTTTACACTTTAGAGGAATTATGCTTAATTATCTTTTACTATTGCTTTTGCTGGTTTCACTTATATTTATTTAGACTCTTATTTAAAAAGTATATTAGAAATAGTGCTTTTTTTTTTCCTGGAAGCAGTCTTTGGGTTATGTATTACTTCCCAGCTTTGAGGTTATTGAAGGAGGGTAAGAATCAGAGTTGCCTTACCCGTTCTTAAGCTTGAGGATGAAGAAAGGAAACAGATGACTTTGTGCCTCACCAATCTGTTCACCACCCTAAAGGGTAAGAGGGAGAAAGAAAAAAGTTAAGAAAAGGGTTCTAGAATAGTTTCACCTTGTAATTTAGAGAACAAAATTAAAATTGATTGTTGGATCACAAAAATTGGTGGCATTGGTTCACTGGTGTATGCCCAGAGCCTATTACAGTGCCAGATATATAGCACATGTGCAGTGTACATGTGTTGGTAAATGAATCCTTCATTCCTTGCTATCTACAGCAATGATTAAACACAGCAGGATTCTGCCCAGCTGCTATCAGGTCTCTCCCTTGCTGTATTTTCATACTAGTCTCCATTGGAATGGTCAAATTTAATTTATATTAAATTTATCTTTTTTAAAGGAGTAACTATTAGTCAAATGGATGAAGAAACATTTTCTGTATTTGCTCCAACACCCAGTGCTATGCATGAAGCAAGAGACTTTATTACTGAAATCTGCAAAGATGATGTAAGTATTGGTCTTAGGATAGTTACCTTTTTCTACTTTTTGTTGCTATGTCTTTATGAATCTTATGACTTATTTTACACTTACAGCAGGAGCAACAGCTAGAATTTGGAGCAGTATATACCGCCACAATAACTGAAATCAGGTAATATAGAATAATATACTTTGTTGGTTTTTAAAAGATATGTGTTTCAAGGCTGGGCTGACTTTACACGTTACTTTATTTTCTTTGAAATTGTAAGGTGTTTTGACTGTCAGTTATCATGGACCGCAAAATATTTTTTAAGGTAGAATGTATTTTGCCAGTTTGTAAATTTTTAGGTAACATAATTTTGTAATTATAATTATAATACATTCTTCTAACTGAATTATTTCTTTAACTAAAGCTTCCATTTTTAAAATTTTCTGGACAGATCCACAATAGATTTAGCAGTATATCCTTTATTTTTAGTTAATTTTTTTTTTTCTTTTTTTGGCAGTTTCTTATGGGCTTGTTTTAGAGGTAGTACTACTTAATACATATTGAGCATATTTTAAAGAATAACAATTTCTAACTTAAAGAATTTTTTTACCAGCTAAATAGAGTTTCAGAATCAGAAAATCCCTTTTAAGGGGAAAAATGATTGGATATAGCATGGATCTGGAAAGCTATTTGAAATGATTAGTAAAGGGCATTAGGATAATTTGCTTAATATGACATGTGAGAAATAAAGAAATGAGATGGCTCATTTTAGTAGAACATAAGGAAAAAAGAGAAAATTTTTAATGAAAACCCCATTCTTCATGTTACTACTTAATAAACCAGAAATCCCAACCTATTGCCGTCAAATTGGTTCTGACTCATAGTGACCCTAGAGGACAGAATAAAACTGCACCATAGGGTTTCCAAGGCTGTAAATCATTGTGGAAGCGAACTGCCTCATCTTTCTCCTGCAGTGCAGTTGGTGGGTACAGACTGCTGACCTTTTATGCTTCAACCACTGTGCTGTTCCTTGCTACTTAATAAGTTGATGATAATCCTATACTATTTTAAAATAACTTATATTTCAATTTTTCTGGGAAATATTATAAAGGGAAATATAGAGGAAGAATATATTCTAATAGTTTTTCTGCTTCCCTTTCCTTTATCTTTTCTTTGTCTTTTGATCCACAATTAAATAGAATGTATTTTCTGTTGAAAAATAAGCATATGTTTCTAAGTCATAGATTTTATAGTTGAAAAAAATATGTACTGCTGTGTTTGTTTGCTTTTGTTTCCTTTTTTTCCTATGAAAACATTATCACAGCTTGATTGTTAGTACATATACAGATACTTACTATTTTAATCAGGCTTATTATTTCATTTTTGTAGAGATACTGGAGTGATGGTAAAACTATATCCAAATATGACTGCAGTACTACTTCATAATACACAACTTGATCAACGAAAGGTAAAAAGAAGAAAGAAGGGAGGAGGAAAGGAGAAAAGGAATCAAAAGCAAAGAGATAGATTAGATTATGTTTGTAACTGCTATAAAATTACAATACTGAAATTACCTAAGTTGCTGGCAATTTTACATTTTGTCTGCTATTAGCCCAAGCACAGACAACCAAAAATGGCAGATGCTGCTGGCAAAAGCTTTTACATTTTTTACTACAGATATTTTTATGCTTTTCCTTCCATGACTAAATAGAAACCCTCCAAATGTTTTGAGGTAGAATAGCATCTAGACCTAGTACACAATAATTACTAAAAATATCTAGCTTCAGCCCTATTTTCCCAACTTTCTTCTGGTCAACCAGTCATCACAAGTTAATTCTGAAGATGTTTTAAAATTTATTTAATCTTTGTAGTAGTTCATACATCTGGAAAACTAAGCATATGAAAATATTAAAGAAATTAAGGGGGCAGAGAGTAATAGCGGTATCTATCTTACCATCTATGAAAATACATTATTAAGCCATAGAGAATGAAACAGTGCCCAGAAATAGATAATGTATCAAAGAGGAAATATTGAAGAGCCAAGAACACACCCAGTTATATACATGGGAACTTAATACATATTGTAAGGTACATTTTAAGTGAGTAAAGAAATGATTATTCATAAATCTTACTGAAACAACTGATTATCGTAAAGCAAGATCTCTACTCATTTTCACACTAAAAATCCATCTGGATCAAAGAACTAAATGTGGAAAAAAGGAGGAAGAAAATCCTAAGAGGGAAAAGGGCACTAGAAGAAATATAGATACTCTAATAATCTGAGGGAACTAAGGCCCACCCAAAGCAGTAGGGCAGGAGAGTGGGAGAAAGGGGATAAAAAAGCCAGGAACTCGGACAGAGGAGCACTCAGCCACAGGGATCCAGGTGAGGAGAAGAACTCAGGCATGCCCAAAGCAGCAGTGAGGGAGAGCAGGAAAAAGGGGATTAAAAGCCAGGAACTTGGACAGAGGAGCAGTCAGCTGCAGTGATCCAGGTGAGGAGAGGAACTCAGGAACGCCCAAAGCAGCAGGGTGGGAGAGTGGGAAAAGGGGATTAAAAGGCCTAGGAATCTGGACAGAGGAGGAGTCAGGCACAGGGACCCAGGTAATGGTGGTATGAGAGGTTTCCAACAGGGAGATAAACTTGTCTCTTGGTTTGTCCTAACGTGGTGACGTGTTGATGTGAGTTTTGAGACTGAGCCACTGGTGTTTCTAACCCAGCGGGAATGCACATGGTGCACAGGTATCAGCCCAGCTTATAGACTGAGACAGACTAGGAAGAAGGAGGAGACCATCCACTTCTCAAATAATTAGCCAGAGAAAACCTTATGAATAGCAAAGAAACACTATTTGATACATTACCGCACAACTTTATTAATAGTCTGCTTAGGTTAGAAGGCTCTCAAAATAGGACTGGGAAAGAGCTGCATCATCTGAGTAAACCCAGCCTTACTCCTCTGGATAAGGTAAAGCTTTCGAGACCTCCATTTGCTGATGTGGCACCACTGAAATTGAAGAGAAACAGCTGCAGACATCCATTAATCATCGGAACATAAAATGTACAAAGTATGAATCTAGGAAAATTGGAAGTTCTCAAAAATAAAA